TTAAGGTGTTGACCTTCAGTGCTACCTCTCTGCTGCCCCTCTGAGTCATTATTAGTCAAAAGTCATTTGATATCTCGGAACGCAGCACTTGCTGGTTCTGGGACTATTGATTAAGAGTGGCTAATGGAGTGCTGCGCCATCAATTTGTGCGAGCATGTCTCATCAGATTGCAGTGCAAAGTCACTTAGAGTGGGAAGCAGTGTGTGAGTTGCACTTTCAGGAACTACACCTCTGAGCAGAATAATTCAGGGTTTAATTGTAGGGTTTTGCTAAGGGCAGCGGTGAAAGGGCTTGCCAAAATTTTGCCATCACAGATCTTTGTGGTCACCATGACTAACACAGCATTGTGCTAAAACTACCCAACATGTGAAAGGCAGGCTGTGTCTTGGCAGCCTTGAGGCTTTCAGAGTGGCCTTTCTTCTCCGGGCAGAGCGATGGGCTGCTGTCAACAAAGCAGAGTCTGTTCCAAAGGAGCAGCCACTTTATCAAGCTACTTCACAACTCTTGGAGGGTAAAAGGAGTGTCTGTGTTTCCACTCCAGACGCAAATGGTAAATGAGACTGTCAACCAGTAGCGTGGTATGTGACAGCTTGGAAGAAGATGACACTGAATCAGTGAAAGGAGGTGGAAGTGAACTGCCCTTCCTTAAAGTGGTCTGCTAGAATCTATTCAAGGAACAGGATATTTGTGCTGGGGATTGGCCTGTGGGTCCTCACGTCATCTTTTCCTCTCTCCGCTGTGTTTCCTGTCTTCACTATTAATTACCAAATAAAGGCAAAAATCCAATAAATAATATTTAGGGCTAACGCATCATATTCACCAGACTTAAGAAAACATCTTTTTTTGGTACAGATCCTTGCAAAAACTACACCACAAAGTTTTTCAGTGAAAATGAGAACAAAATGAATTATCATGCCCTCCAATATCGCAAATCATATTGCAATATCAGTCAAAATAATTGCAATTAGATATTTTTTCAAAGTCGTTCAGCCCTAATATTATCCCCAATATTATTCCATAACTGATAAATTGATTGACAGAAAAGTCATTGTAAATTAATTTAAGTTTAAGTCAAAGATACCAAGTTAGCTGGTTCTGGCTTCATTAATATATATTTTTTATTATTATTTTTTATCACTATAAATAGAAACTTTTTCAGTTTGGGTCGTTGGTCAGACAAAACATGCAATTTTAAGATGTCACCTTGGGAATTTGGAACTGCAGATAAACATTCTCACTTTTTTTCACCTTTTAAGATGGTATAAAGTAAACTATTAATCGCTTAAGCAAAAAAACAACCCTGACAGATACATTACTAGTTAAACCCTAATTGTCAAGCTGGGTCACTGTTAATATCATAAGAATGTGGTCCAGAATTTCGACAGAGGCTCAAAATAGCAAAGGAGGCCAGGCATTATGAACTGTAATAAACTTGGGTCATAGTTCTATTTTTGCTTGGATTTGTTTGGATCACTGTTTGGCTGCAGACTGTTGTTGTTGAACTTCAGACAGCAGGAAGAGGCTCTGCATGGACATGGAAGAGGAAGACGGCGACGACCTGTTGAACACAAGAGCCTCAACTTTGCATGGTTTCACATGCTTTGGGGAGAATATGACTCAACACTCATTAAAGGCAGTGTGAGCTCAGCTTGTGACCTCCACATTGTTGGCTTATAGTGTAGTCTGTAGTCTCTCTCCTTTTTGTTCAGTTTAGGTCATGTCTAAACTTGACTTGATCTCATATAAATGTTAGAGTTAAAACAGTTAAAAGTTGAAATTACTCAAGGGTCCTGCATAGAGGATTGCATGCATGCAGGCTGGCTTCGTCAAATTAAGTTCCGCCTCCAGCTCTTGACAAAACTATAATGGGTATTTTCATGGGAAACACTATTTTCTAGCAAAGGTTGCATTTTGTGGATTTCAGTCATTTGTAACTGCAGTTACCGTAATGAGCCCAGTGCACCAGGAAAGACGCTGGTATAGCGTATTTAATAGCATTTAATTTTCTAAAACAAATCCATCGCAGTAACATTTAATATACTGAACTTACAAATTATGCATTTATAAAGCCAAATTCAAGATGAACAGAGACACTTGTGTCACCACATGAAGCAGATGAATGATTTTTTTTTTTTACCTCCTTGCTCCCACTTTCTTCCCCCATAACCTTGGCTGCCACTGGTTGATAAACGTTATCAGTATTTCTTGCTTTTCTCCTTCTATTTTTCACCTCGTTTATCAACCACAATACAGTTATTGGGCTTTCTGAAGGAACCTCAGACACTCAGCTGCCCTGACATTTGCGATATAGCCTACCAGTCCGATGGCTAGAGCCAACTGGACAGTGAGGTCATGCATGTGAGATCTTAGACAATAACTCATTAATATGCACACTCACCAACTGGACCGGAGGTCGAATACCGGAGGTGTACATGTTGTTACGGACAGTTTTGCATGTGAAATACTTACGTTACTGTAGATGCTCCTTAGTCTGTCAAAATGATGGATGATTCAGATTTTTGCGTCAATGGAAAAAAAATTGGTTATACTGGTTATGGTCTTTGTAGTCAACAGTAAAAAAACCAAACAAAAAACATACCGAGGCATTATTATAGAAAAACACATAAAACCAAGCAAATTGATTATTGATGAAGTAGTTTTAGTGCTAAGTAGTTTTGATTTCAATTTACTGCAAATTTCTACGAGGTGTATTTGTGTGGTAAGTGATGTAGCTTTACCTGGGATGAGATAAGACCCGGAAAATGCTCACAAACAGCTTAGAAAATGTTTTCCACACAAAACAAAACTAAAGACAATTGCGAATTGGTTAGAAGTATTTGGGAACACGATTGGCTTGCATATTGTGTTCTGTAAGGTGGCTAGGTTGTAAGGTCTTTGTGTTACTTCCTCCTCCCTCAGATATGTTTACTACTCTGTCAGTGCCCTATATCATTGGTTTGTAGCCCTGCTGCCCTTTAGTTGATTGGGGCAGGACAGCTTTAGTTGTTACTGTTGGCTTATGTTTAGAGCCACTCATTGGTCAAATGTCAGGGGTTGTGACTTTGCTCTGAGATGGACGGCCTTTACTAAGCTCCAGTTTTAGTTTGGCACAACTTTTGGCCTTTATTTATAACCACTCCATTACTCAGTCCCTCTGGCCCGGTGAAAAGAGAGTGAGGAGATGTATGTCTGCTCTGCTACATTACAGCCCCCACGTCAACCACCTGGAATGCCTCTGCTACTGCCTGTAGTTAGACACATCCCAAATCACCAAAATGAAAAGCAGAACCTACTTTTAGGAATAATTTCCAGTAGGGCTGCTTGATTATTTTTTGATTAATCAATTAATTGTTTAACTTTATAAAATGTCTGTTAATAGTGCCAAAACAGTGTCATTAATAATTCCCCAAACCCATTGTAATGGTTTAAATTGCTTATTCTGACCTAATTTTGACATTCAGTCCAATTATATATGACTTAAACTTACTGATTGTTTTATACTAAACTAAACTCACTTGGCAGGTACAAGATTGTGCAGGGAAGTTCAGCATGTTTAAAATATTATATATTGCAAAATCATGTGTGACAGTGAGATAATCACTTGTGTAGTTTATATTTCTAATAATATTAATGTAAAATATAAAATAAATAGTTTAACATTTCCCCACCGGCCAGGGATGCAGCTCCATTTCACCCAGTCAGTATGATCCGTGTCCCATTATGCCCGTGTGTGATCTCTCACCCATGGTGCCTTGACGTGGGTGAGTTTTCTTCCTACAGAGCTGAGGTCATGATGGGGGAGGTGAGTCATTTTGGCATTTGAGGGAGAGGAGGCGTTCAGCTGCTTTACACATTATAACTGTGCTGACGCCTGGCGTCCTTCCAGCAGCTGCCTTGTTTAAAATATGATTCACTGGACAAATAATAGCATAACATCATTCTGGAAAACTGAATGCTTAAAGACAAAACTCCCTTAGGGTGAAGTTGTGGTAACAGAGTTTTGACTCATGCTTACGACATGCTATTTATGTATGTAACATGCACTCAAGTTGCATAAAAGCTTAGAAATTAAATATTTCTGAGCTAGCTCATATGCGCCAACTCATCTGAAACTAAAGCTAAAGTGTTGAATGATACACAATCCTATGTCTAATGAACTAGTCATCAGGGCTGAGCCTAGGGTGAGGGGTGACTTTATCAGTTTCTAAATATGATAGAGTAGCTAATTGACTTGTCATTAATAAAGGAAGAGCGTGTAGCATCTTCCAATAAAAAACAAAACAAACTGTGAGGGTAAAGCTCAGCATTACTTCTTTTGTAATGCCTTCTAATGACGATTTCAGGTTTATAACCCAGTCCTGCAAAATTGTAACTATACAGATAATTTATGACAAGGTTGTTCATGATGTGAAAAGATAACTGATGAGATGGGGGTGCAAGCAACTCCACTGAATCCATTATTTTCTATATTCCTAGCCCACTGAGTGCATTATCGTGTTTATATCATGGCCACTTATCAAAGGTTTTCTAAAGTTTGTTTGTTGTCAAATTAGCCCACGTTTGATTTAGAATCTCAGGAGCAAGTGAGAAGCATTAGTGCTGTGTATGCACTTCCTGCAGTGTAAGCTTAATTTAGAACAGTGGTTAGACTGTTGAAATATCAGAAGCATTTTTGAGTTGTAACTAAAGCTGCCCATCCAACCAGAAACGAACATTTCCTGTGGTGATATTATACAGTAATTCTGTCTTCTGTATTGTCTACTGTATCAGACAGTGCTGTGAGGTATCCAAATAAATAAAACTTTATTAAGAAATATCTGCAAGTTAGACATTATTAAAAGCCTGATTCAACCAAATATAGTTTCACCTGACTGCACATGTCATGTAGCATGGGATTAGATGGACAGATAGATAGATATCTCATGTGTCTTTAGTGATTGTACATTACCTCTTTATTTCCTTAAAATGTTTTGTAAAGTTGACTGATCTGTGTTTTCCAGGTGGGGAAGGAGACTGTACAAACCACAGACGACCAGATCATGAAAAGGGACATGTCACCAGCTTTTATCAAGTAAGCACTGAAGTAAATCTTTGCAAATGTCAATTTAATGCAGTGACAACCCTCTTAAATGTATTTTAGATGAAGTAGTTCTCTTTCTACAGTATGTGGGACCCACTAGCCTCTCTTTGGCTGTCTTTCTCTCTTTATCTGTTGCAGTAATGGCTGGTTGTGCCCAAGCAAAGGTCAGACATGGCATGTTAAGTGCCTCAGAATCATGCCTGGGTGTAACATAAATACTTTTATGTACACGGGGGAGTTCCTTTACCCTAAAGAAGAAGGGCCGCATACTCATACATGTCCTCATATATAAGAGCCACTGGCTGCTGCCGCTACTTTTGGTTCATGTTAAAACATAAAACACACACAAAAATGTTTGCATATCGATGTAGAAAAAGAGAGATGTACATATTTAATCAATATATTTGTTTTCTGGCTCACTCCACATCGGCTAAATCATTAACTTGTGCTCAGCTGCTGTCTGTCCGTATCACAGTCTTTCACCGATCCCTATTACATGAGAGACTACAGTCGGGGGAGGGAGAGGCGGGACCTGGGAGCCCCCCCCCCCCCAAGGTCAGGGATGAAACGCATTGGCAGGCGCAGGTCGTCAAGCTCAACACATTTGGCGCCTCAAAGTCACATCGTCACCCTGTCGTCATCCATCAGTACATGTGCTGGAATGTGTCTCGTTCACTAAATATAGTGTTTGTCGGGGTCCGGTTAATGCATGGCTGTTTCTCGCTAGTGCACGCTGAAGTGACACTGCTGGCTGGCTCTGCAAAGACACACACACACACACCAATGTCAGCCTCGATGTCATGCACATACATTAGCCTTTATACTGCAGGCGAGTTGCTCCTTTAGAAGAATGGAAACTGAGCTCTTCTTGTTTGGCCCCTTTGCAACGCCTAAAAAGTGGAAAATAGCCCCTGTTACTGTGGGTATTCTGTGGGAACTAGGACACGTGTTATTCCTTGGCTTGTTGCCTGTTTCTATGCTCACTATGGCTGTTGGTGATATTATGCAGGTGGCATGTATGAAGCTGAATCAAAAGACTGAGCCTGGAGTTTATGCTGCTCTGGAGTTCACTGAGTGCATCACAACCAGGAGGCAACTAGTAGTCATTTATTGACTACTGACATTCATGAGTCAAGTCAATTTGATTTATATACAGCGGATTGGCACTGGGTACCTCGGAAAACTTCCCTTTTTGGGGATCTATAGAAGATCCTATAGATGTCAATGTGTGTATGAATTAATTATAGAAAGTGATAATTTACTTTATATAGCACGACACCTGCCTTTTGGAGGAGACATTTCCTCAATAGGAACTTCACAATTTCCTTCTGACACTGTAAAAGTACTGAAGAACAAAGTTTGGAGAGCTATAATAATTGGGGTCTTTGTGCACGCTGTGCTGTAGCTTGTTGTGAACAGAATTGGTTTATACACAAGCTGCTAATCACATGCAAACGCATATCTTTTAGTACAGGAAGGAAACTGCTGCTAGGATGAGTAAGATTAGAGTAAGCTATTCACTTCCTAATTCTTAATTTAACCCCATGTATGGAGGTACCGATTTGCTTGAAATGGGATAAAAACCATATAAGAAGATGAAGTCATGCTTCGACAGCAGCACTGTGTGGTATGGCTAGCTGTATACCAAAGCTTCCATCTGTTGTTGCTGTAGACAATTTCCTGTTTCCACGCATAATGTCCATCTGCTTCTTAAGGGCTTCTTATTATCAGCATGACTTGTTTTGAGCATTTTGTTTCTTTTTACTGGCCTTCATCATCAAATCAATCATCTCCTTTCCACAGAGTGGAGAATGCGTGTGCAAAGCTGGTGCAGGCTGCCTCCATGCTGAAAGCCGATCCATACTCTGTTCCTGCTCGGGATTACCTCATCGATGGCTCCCGGGGTATCCTCTCTGGGACATCTGACCTGCTCCTAACCTTTGATGAGGCTGAGGTATTAATTCATTTAATCTTTTCATTCTTTATTTTATTTGAAAAATCTGTTAACCAGCAGAAGTCTGTTTGCTGACCAAGGTCAGAATGCCAATTTTGTTAAAGGATCAGGTGACACTGCTAAATATCATCAGTTTTAGAGGTTTAGTGTGTTTTAGCACACTTTATCCATGTTGTGATTTCCCACATTTTGCAGGATGTGGATTATTGAGACACCTGACGGCAGAGGAATTGATTTCTCTGCCTCTGGTGCTCTGAAATTCTCCCAGTGCATTAATAAAGCATTAGTGCAAAATGATGTGCGCTTACATGTGCTTTTTATTTTTTCATTTTTGTATTTATTTTACCTGGACTGACCTGATGTTTACAGATGTTTCACATGACTGTATATGTCAATATGACATCACTTCTCCTGTGCTTGGCTGGTTATAAACAAAAGTAAAAGCAGGAAACAGAATGTGTGATAAGCTGGTGACTACAATGCAACCGGATACAACCAGATACAAAATGCAAAGCCAGGAGTTACAATAACTTGATGACATGACATGAAGTCAACCTCCCAGGGAAGCCGAGCTGGAAGGGCTTCAATGTCTTTTTAATGGACACAATGGAGCATGGCACAGGCCTACTGTCACTGGCTTTTTTGATGTAAGGATCCACTCCTGCTTCCCCCTTGGCAACTGTAATGCTTATAAAGACAGAGAGGGAGACAAATATACTATACAAACACTTCCTAAATCTTGAACCAGGCAGGAGTATCATCTATCAGGTCCAGCTTTCTTTTCCTCTCAGGGATGGAGAGTAAAATATAAAAAGTTGCAGATCAGCTTTCTGGGAGCAGACATCAGGCGTCCCAGCGGTGTCTGCTGCAGTCAGCAGGACTCAGCAGGAGTCATCAGTCAGCCGTGCCATCATGTTTTCCAGGACAGCTCAGGGATCACTTTGTATAGTAGCAGTCCACATAAAACTGGAGGGAAGGGAGGGGGGGACAAAGGCTGGAATGTCAGTAGGAAGCATTGTCAGAGTGCAATCAGAAAGAATGTGAATGAAAAGGGGGGTGGGGGGTGTTTGCATAATCACTTGTCTCTGGAAATGTGAATAATGAACATTGTTTTTCAATTTGCTTTTGTTGTTTTTATCATGTCAATATCATAGGTCCGTAAAATTATCCGGGTGTGCAAAGGCATCCTGGAGTACCTGACAGTTGCAGAGGTCGTGGAGTCTATGGAGGACTTGATAACGTACACAAAGAACTTGGGACCAGGTCAGTCTGCTGATACAGCAGTGACAGGATTACTTTGCTGAAGTCTTAACTTGACAGTGTCTCAGAGATTTGCTTTCTTTGTTGACAGATTTAGGGTGTTTTTGCTGAAGTTGAACATATTACTTTTGCTATGTTAGCATTCATATGTGTTTGTTGCAGTGGTGAAGATAGAACTCAAATTCTGTACTTTGAGTAAAAGAAGTAATTCTTAAAGGAAAAAATAATCCCATTACAAATAAACCCAATATTCAAAGTTTTACTTAACTTGACACATTTGGGAAGTTGCATACATCAAATGTAAAGTAATGTGAAGTATCAAAATTAAAATCTATCATTCTAAAGAACTGTCCCACATTGTTGGGAAACATGGGCATTAATAATCCCTCTAATCCCCAATTTCAAGGGTTTATAAATTTTCATAGTAGTTGAAAGATTATATGCTCCTCCACATGATGATTAAATTATTTTAAGCTCTTTAGAATGTGTCCATAATTATCATCAGGCTAAAAATCTGTTTTTCAGCTTCTGAAAAGTTTATATTCTGGGAATACTAGTTTTACTTTACTAAAGCCATTGCATTTCACGAACCTTTCTCATGCTCAAAGTAAAGAGTAAAGAAGTACAGCATTTCCCTCTGAAATGTCTTAAGTGGAAATGCGCGGGACCATTACTGTATGTTATTTGACTAAATTCCTTTCCACCTCTGGTTTGTTGTCCAGGGATGACAAAGATGGCAAAGATGATAGATGAGCGACAGCAGGAGTTGACACACCAGGAACACCGTGTGATGTTGGTGAACTCCATGAATACAGTCAAAGAGTTGCTGCCTATCCTCATCTCAGGTAAGACATTTTTTTCTTTTTTTCTTTTCTTACGTAAATACTCTAGTCACCAAGATTTATTTTCGGTCAGTATTTCTAAGTTCTGTTTTGTATTTCAGGTATCAAAATCTTTGTGACAACCAAGACATCTGGCAGCCAGGGTGTGGAGGAGGCCTTGAAGAACCGTAACTTCACTTTTGAGAAGATGAGTGCTGAGATAAACGAGATCATCAGGGTGCTGCAGCTTACGTCCTGGGACGAGGATGCCTGGGCCAACAAGGTACGTACAATCAATTATATTCTTTTACCTCAGTTTGTCTATGGCAAGTCACATGCACACACTGTTATAATAAATATACACGAGAAACAAGAGACTGCTTTGCTCTTTGAGTGTTTAAACTTTTTGTGCACTTAGTGAATCATAGCTGGAAGCTGTATGTCCAAATCTACCCACTGTGTTCTTGCACACTCCCAGAATGCTTTTGGCAGGAGGCTGCAAGCTGGAGAGATTATGAAGTGATGTTATTCTAATTTTTTATTTTTTTTTACTTTCTTAACAAGGCATGCACTTTGTTTGATCAGAATGACCTTATTGCAAGGTTGACAGGTGTGAAAAATGCTTTTGCTATATTTTATTCTTACATTCAGTAAGTGATTCAAGTAAGAATGCTGTAATGTTCTGTCTTTACGTAGCTGGTTAATCTTTTGGGTTTGTTTAGGATTTTCTGCTCTGCACGTTCTGCTTCTTTCCTATACCGTCACTCTCCAAATGGCTCTCTCCTGTGCCACTTTTTTTCTTTTTGTTGCTCACAGTTGGTGTGTCCAGTTCAACATTTGTATTTATGTCGTTCTTCCTTTCTTTTTACCGTTTCTTTCTCCCCTCACCCCCTGTAGAAGGTAAGCCCTTACCTCTCTCGCCCCTTGGTTGTGCAGCAGCATGTCTGACAGATGTGTGTGCTGTCTGTTTTGTGGTGCCATTGTGTGCTTATTGGTAGTGAGCCAGTTGTGAGGTTAGACTGTTGACTATCTATTAATAGAGCAAATTAGCAGTTTGAATATTTTTGTACTGCTAAAAAAATGGTGTTTATTGAACAAGTGTTCAGCAGTTTTGAATTGCTGAAATGTTGATCCATGCAGTATTTTTTTTCCCTCTTTGGATTTGTTTTGCTTCATAACATGACATTGTATCAACATCTGTGTGTCCTCCTCCTATGTCATTAAAACCTCACTATGTGCATGTCCTCAACCTGACTTATGCAGTATTGATTTGGATGTCATGAATGAAATTTCTCTCAGCATTCATAATTTTTTACTACGATTTTCTCTGTATTTGCATTTTACAGCCATAGGAGGAGATAACATAGAAACTGAGATGGATTTTGTTGTATGAATGGCTAATTTATAGTTTTAATCCAACATACTGTATATGGCCTAGTGTGCTCACAAATCTTATCTCCATGAACACTAACCGTGCCTTGTTGTTTTTTTTGAGGAATACCTTTCTGTGTTTGATTATAGGCTGGAGTGAATGCGTGTTTGCATTTCATCTGAGTGCAAAGATCTCATATCTGTCTCTCACTTTACTTCACTCACATTCACAGGTGGTTACTGACAGAACACCAGCTGTACAAGTTTGAACAGTAAACTAATACACCTACGCAGCTCTGGTGACATCACTTCACACCTTTGTACTTCCTGTTTTTTTTCTCTCCCTTGTTCAGCTCTGCTTCCACACTCCTATTCATCCAAACATGTTTATTATTCTCTTTTAACAAAGGGAGTATTGTGAGGGCTCAGACATATTTTTTGATGAATATTTTTAAAACAAACAGTGGAGTTTTGTTGTTATTCAGCTTAATTTGCTCTGAATCTCTTGCTGAACTCTGAAGATTCAAGCTGCATTATGAAGAATAGTACCTTGTGTTCTGTGAAATGCTGTTATTGTACCGTGAAAGAATAAGCTCATTTAACCACTCATTCATCCACTCTGGTGTTCTGCTTTGCTCCATGTCCTACAGGACTCTGTTTTGTTTTGACTTCGACAATGAGTGGACTCATTGTCGAGTCGGCTGCTGTTGGACAGATTGTTGTATTTCCATCCACTCTGATTGAAATACAACATCGTTTGGCTTTTATAACATGACACGCTCATTATTGACGAATGATGGGAATGGCATGCGCTACATGGTTGTGCCTGACAGATGTTAGCGATGCCGCACACGGACATTGCTGGTTCTTTTAGTGGAGTAACTAAACAGGGGGGTTTGATCACAACAGTGACGAGAACCTGGAGCTTTTCTTTACCATGAAACTTAGAAAAAACTGAATGAGGAAAAATACATTCCAAGCTCAGTTTCATTGAGTTATGACCTTATTTCTAAATAGGACTATAATTATATGGCGACACATGTTAACCTCATTGGCACATAATATACTATTTACAGGAATATTGAATATCGACTGAAATTAAAAAAATATCCCATTCTAATAATCATGTTATGATATAAGGCGTTGAATCACTTCTTATTTAGTTTTCTTTTGTCGTGTTGATTCCCTTGAAGTTATTAATTTATCTTTGTCTTTCAAACCCAAAGGACACAGAGGCCATGAAGAGGGCTCTGGGGCTCATCGACTCAAAGATGGGTCAGGCTAAGAACTGGCTGAGGGATCCAAACGCTCAACCAGGTAATAAACATCCACGCCCTCTACCTTTTGAAACTATTCCTTGTGCTGCTAATCACGTCCTCAGGCTGATAAGCTAGTTGTATCAAGTATTGATGTGTTTGACTTTGCCTGTTTAGGGGACGCAGGTGAGCAGGCCATCCGGCAGATCCTTGATGAAGCTGGGAAAGTTGGTGAACTGTGTGCTGGGAAGGAGCGCAGAGATATCCTCGGCACAGCAAAGACCCTGGGCCAGATGACTGACCAGGTGTCTGAGATGAGGGCCAGGTACACTTTACGATAAAAACATTGCATTGTGTGTCTGTGTCACAACTAGGACTAAATGATCCCCCTCATACTGCACGCCGCCCATGTCTCTTTCAGTAGATAGTCTCATGTTCTGTTACTATGTTTTCTAGATTCCGTAATCAAATTTTCAGAATTATTGATTGATTATTGATAAATGCTTATTTTTATACAGCAGTTCATTTCCCATCCTTAAAAGGGTAGGACTTGTAATGCAGTAAGCACATTAGAGGGGATTATAGCGTGTAAGAGTAGAAGTGATATGCTTCTGATATGAAATCTGATTGTCGCCAGAGACCCTGAGTCACGCTTGCTATAAAAGCAGCTGTCTGGTATTAATCCATTACCTACTTAACCCCTGGTTGAGTTACTCCTTTGAAAACTGAGAGACCTCTGAGCCTTGTCTGGAAATGGAGGCATTAAGATAGGAAATAATATTAAACAGGAGGATCATAAAACTTAAGCTTTTGAGTAAACAAACAAAGACATGTGCATGTGTGGCCTTCTAAAGGCTTGGCAATGCTGCAGTTTATGGTATCCATGTGTTTTTCTTTTCCATCCCAGAGGTCAGGGCGCGTCCCCAGCAGCTATGCAGAAAGCACAGCAGGTTTCCCAGGGGCTCGATGTGCTAACTGGCAAGGTGGGAAATGCTGCTCGCAAGCTGGAGGCCATGACTAACTCCAAACAGGCCATAGCCAAAAGGATTGATGCTGCACAGGTGAGCCATTAACCGTGTTTACCTTTCAAAACAAACCAAATCAAACCTCTAAATGCAAATATGTGAGGGTGTTTTGTGTGTTTCCTGCTCTGGCAGAACTGGCTGGCGGACCCTAATGGCGGCCCAGAGGGAGAAGAGAACATCAAGGTCCTGCTTACTGAGGCCAAAAAGATTGCAGACATGTGTGAGGACCCCAAAGAAAGAGACGACATCTTGCGCTCTATTGGAGAGATCGCTGCCATGACTGCAAAGTTGTCTGATCTCAGAAGACAGTAAGTTACTGACTGCTGGAAATATAGCATCATTTTTACTGGGGGTTTTTTCTGAGCCTGACTTTGATGACCCCTTCTTCCTAACCCCACTGGTCTGCTTTTACTCTTTTTGCAAATGCTTTAATTGAATACTTTAATCAATTTAATGCTTTTGTCATCAAAGCACACCTGTTTACCCACTGTTGTTGGGAGTTAATAGTGTTTGTTTTTATATGCGAAGGAAAATTTGAGAAATCAGCAATTCAGTAAGGGTCAACTTGGCCTTAAAAGTTTAGACCAGTGAGGTATTTTATCTTTTCCATTTTCCCTTTTGTATTACAATTCAATTGGAACCGTTCTTACTCCACCTTGTACAAGTAGACTGAAGTACCTGTTTTTCGGTCTGCACCAGAAATTGTAAAAACCTTTTTAAGTCAACTACTCCCAGATTTGAACTAAATTGGCAGTGTGAAAGTGCTCTTAGTCAAACGGATTAATAGTTATTTGCTCTCTAACTGTAGCTGGCCAGACGTCATTTCAACCATGCCTTTAAGATAAAACACCACCTCAGACCTTTTTGCTGTTTTTAATTCCTTATAGGGGTAAAGGTGACACTCCTGAGGCCAGAAGTTTGGCTAAACAGATCGCCACAGCTCTGCAGAACCTGCAGTCCAAGACCAACAAAGCTGTGGCTAACAGCAGGCCTGCAAAGGCAGCTGTTCACTTGGAAGGGAAGATTGAGCAGGCGCAGCGCTGGATTGACAATCCCACCATGGATGACAGCGGTGTGGGTGAGTCTGGCTCCCATCTTCTCCGACTTCCTCGATTGTCTATCTTTTGCTCACATTCCTTCCACTGCTCCTGTGGCTAAATTGCAGACCACTTTGTGTTCATGTCGCTCTACACTGTACTCGTCGTTCCAAAACGCTCTCTCTCAACACTGTTTTTTCCTCTCAAACCTGGACATCGTCTTACATGTTTACAATAGAGCTGCAGGCTGGCTGCTCTTAAGGAGGATTGGTTCACACACAGTATGATGCAAGCAATGCTTACAGCAAAGAAACCGCATGAAATAATACAGGAGAAAGCCATGGGGTTCTTTCCCCTCTAGTGTTGATACAAGCACCCAGTGAAATACCAGAATTACCCAACATTTATTGGTCTGCTTTTTGCATGAGGAAGTTAAACGCTAGCATTAACAAGCACACTTGACAGTTAACTAGGGCTGAACAAATGAACAATTTTCAGTTAAGTATTTGATTTAAAACATTTATCAAGCAAAAATCTTTGGGGTGGTGATGGCGCAATGGATAAGATGCCTGCCTTTGGTGTGAGAGACCCGGGTTCAGTCCCCCACTGTGAACCATCCACCATTGTGTCCCTGAGCAAGACACTTAACCCCTCGTTGCTCCAGAGGCGTGCGACCTCTGACAAATAGCAGTTGTAAGTCGCTTTGGATAAAAGCGTCAGCTAAATGAATAAATGTAAATGTAAAAATGGCAAACATTCTCTGGTTCCATCTTATCAAATGTGAGGATTAGCTTTTTTCCTCTATTATGTCATTATAAATTGCAAATTTTTTTGAGTTTTGGCCATACGCAACGATTTTCTATTCTACACAAAATCATCTTAACAGTGATATGGCAGAATACAAATTTGATAACACAGTTTTAAAGTGATATTTATGACCAAATTTCACAAAAAAAAAAATAATCCAGAAATAATCAATGCTTTGTCACTTTAGTACAGAAGTTTGTTAGTGTTGATGCACCCTCAGGCAATAATGTTAATCAGCCGTCAACTTGCAAAATGCTGATTTTTGTGAATCTTCATGTGTGTATATGTTTGTATGTCTGTGTGTTTAGGCCAGGCAGCCATCCGTGGGCTGGTGGCAGAGGGCCACAGGCTGGCTAATGCTCTGCCAGGCCCGTACAGGCAGGAGATGCTGGGTAAGTGTGACCAGGTGGAGCAGCTCATGGCCCAGCTGGCTGACCTGGCTGCCCGCGGTGAAGGGGACTCCCCTCAAGCACGTGCTGTGGCTCAGCAGCTCCAAGAGGCTTTGAAAGTAAGACGGCTCACACTTAACAGTCATTCCCATTTAGACCTGTAACTTTACTGCTATAGATCAGGATTCATACACGGAGATGGAGAAACAACCCCCTCTGCTGGTTGATCAGTGGTGGAAGAAATGCAAAAAAACTATTATACAAAGTAGTATGACCACAATGGAAAAATACTCCACTGCAAGACCTTCTGTCAAAATTAAGTAAAAGTTAACAAGTATTAGTGGTACGATGTCAAAAGTACAGTACTCGGTGAACAAACCGTAACACATTCAAATTACAATAATGAAATGTAATTGTTCACTGATGAACATTACCGAAATTTAAGAAAATGAAATAAAAATCTAAGAAATGATGATCAGATCTACTATTTAGGGGTTTTCCTGCTTTCAGATTAATTGAAAGATTATATTCTATTGGCTGAGACACTTCCCTAAAACTCTTAAAATAATGTAATTTTTTTTTCATGATTGCCTTAAACTCTGCATTTTGTAGAAGCCAAATTTTAGGTTTATGTTGTCCAAAATTCATGTAAGATCTATATCTGCAAGATAGGTATCAACAACAGTCGAAAGTACAGTCCATGGTGAAGAATGTTACCGATCAGCGATGAATTATTGAGACAAATCCTAACACCTTCAAAGTACAATAATGAAATGTAATTGTTCAATTAAGAACATTGCCCTGATTTAAAAAAAATTACATTATAAAAAACGGTGAAATAATGAAAATCTCATATCTACAATTTAGGGGGTTTCCTGCTTTTCAGATGAGATGAAAGATTACATGCTGCTGTTAGTTGCTGATAAATCTATTAATTAATCAAAATAATTGTCATTACAGTAATTTTATAATAGTCATTAAGTTGCAGCCCTAATCATATTCTAATATGTATATATCAGAGGGTATTGTCAGACTGGTTGTAACACCTGTCTGTCTTCCTCTCAGGACCTGAAAGGGAAAATGCAAGAGGCGATGACTCAGGAGGTGTCCGACATCTTCAGTGACACCACCACCCCCATCAAGTTACTGGCGGTGGCTGCTACCGCCCCTCTGGACGCCCCAAACAGAGATGAGGTCAGTGGCACAGTCACCCTGCTCCTCACTGTGATCTCATTGCAATGAGCCTCCTTCAGTGGTCTTATATTTATTGGCAACGTGGTTGTATTATTTCCAGCAACGCTTCTGGATAATTGTTTTATTTGATCATGTGTAGGTCTTTGACGAAAGGGCTGCCAACTTTGAGAACCACGCCAATAAGCTTGGCACCACAGCAGAGAAGGCTGCTGCTGTCGGCACTGCCAACAAGAGCACAGTGGAGGGAATCCAGGCTGCCGTTAAGTCAACAAGAGACTTAACACCACAAGTATGTCACGGTTTAGTGTTTATATCTGTTTACATTTGTGTGTGCCCTCCACTGTGCATCACAAGTCACAGAGCTTAAGTGTTTCTTGCTTCTTGAGCCAAGTCTTTAGTAGTTGTTATTTGACTGACAATTAATGGCTCTGATTGCTTTTAGGTGGTATCTGCTGCTCGTATTCTGCTGAGAAACCCTGGCAACCAAGCTGCGTATGAACATTTTGAAACCATGAAGAATCAGTGGATTGACAATGTCGAGAAAATGACAGGTGAGGTGCCATGAAGATGCTGTAAATTCCCTGAAAGGTGATTCCCATTTCATATCTCCTGCTGTAATTTGCTATATTAATATGTTATGGATGTGTAGGTTTGGTGGATGAGGCCATCGATACCAAATCTCTACTGGATGCCTCAGAGGAGGCCATCAAGAAGGATCTGGATAAGTGCCGTGTGGCCATGGCCAACCACCAGCCTCAGATGCTGGTCGCCGGTGCCACCAGCATCGCCCGCAGAGCCAACCGGATCCTCCTGGTGGCGAAGCGAGAGGTGGAGAACTCCGAGGATCCTAAATTCAGGGAGATGGTGAAGGCTGCATCTGATGAACTGAGCCAGACAATTTCTCCTATGGTGATGAATGCTAAGGCAGTGGCTGGAAATATCCAGGATCCAAGTAGGTTGATGTTGCTAATAGATTTAAGGATTATGTGTGTGTTTAACCTTCTAATTCTGATGTTTGTTGATAAACATGTTTGTTTTGTGATTACCAGGTCTTCAGAAGGGCTTTCTGGACTCAGGTTATAAGATTCTAGGTGCTGTGGCAAAGGTCAGGGAGACCTTCCAGCCCCAGGAGCCAGACTTTCCACCACCACCTCCTGAACTGGAACAGCTTAACGTAAGTCCTCAAATGAGCACAACTTTGAATTTGGCAAATCATCTGAAGCTGCTTGGTTTTGTGTCTAGTGTATTTACTGCCAAACCATAATTGCTTGAACTTGTCCTTGTAGCTTAACGATGAGGCAGCACCACCCAAACCTCCTCTTCCTGAGGGTGAGGTTCCTCCCCCCAGGCCTCCTCCCCCAGAGGAGAAAGATGAGGAGTTCCCAGAGCAGAAGGCTGGTGACATGGTTAACGAGCCCATGATGGTGGCTGCCAGGCAGCTCCACGATGAAGCCCGCAAATGGTCCAGCAAAGTAAGTGAATGCTGTACACACATCAAGGGACTTTCACTTTGAAACCTCATGCTTTCAGATTGATTATGTTCCGTTGTACTTCATAGGGAAATGACATCATTGGTGCTGCCAAACGAATGGCCTTGCTCATGGCTGAGATGTCACGTCTGGTGCGTGGAGGCAGCGGAAACAAGCGCGCCCTCATCCAGTGCGCCAAGGACATTGCTAAGGCTTCTGATGAAGTCACACGGCTGGCCAAGGAAGTGGCCAAGCAGTGTACTGACAAGCGTATCAGGACCAACCTGCTCCAGGTCTGTCTTTGTCTTTATCAGAAGGTTTTGCAGTGGAAAGACTACACTTTATTGTTTTGGTATAAATGTTTTGACCTCACCTGACTTTCTGGCTTTATTTCAGGTGTGCGAGCGCATTCCCACCATCAGCACTCAGCTCAAAATCCTGTCCACAGTCAAGGCCACCATGTTGGGTCGTACCAACATCAGTGAAGAGGAGTCTGAGCAGGTGAGCCTTTTGAATCTTTTTTATGAGTGTCAGATCACAAGATTCCCATTATTTTAATTAGGCTTTGAAAAAGTACTGTTCCTGTCTCCCTCATCACTGTATCTCTTTTAATGTCTTCTCCGGCAGGCTACTGAGATGTTGGTCCACAATGCTCAGAACCTGATGCAGTCTGTGAAGGAGACTGTCAGGGAGGCCGAGGCAGCTTCCATTAAGATCCGAACAGATGCAGGTTTCACCCTCCACTGGGTCAGAAAGACCCCCTGGTACCAGTAAAAGAAGGGCCACTGTTCCTCTGCTTCATGCTGGTTATATCCAGCTGTCCAGGAGGACATTGAATGGACAGATATACACTTCTACTATACACTATCAGAGTTATATCAGTGCCCCTCGCCCTAATATGGGCAATGTTTCTCTATTAGTCCCATGTCCTGTCTGTAACAGATGCTGTTCTGGTAGAATGTAAACAATGGGACTATAAGTGCGAGTTATGAGTTAGATTCTTACTGGGAGTGTCTTTTATTTCTAAAGTGTGTAATAAAAAGAACTGCTTTAAAGCTTATTTGACAAATCCCAGGAAAAAAATAAAAAATATATGTTTTGATTAGAGGTTTGATTTCATATAATGCAAGGAATTTTTTGGCCTTTTCTAGACACCAACATTAAGTTAAATTAAGTTTAAATAACTAGATTTTCTCGAGATATTTTTATATCTTTTATACTGATTTCTTATAGCACGCATTCACCTTCGCTAGAATAAGCACGTGAACGTGAAGAATTGTTACAAGTACAGTATAGGCCTACGTTGAGCACACGCAAAATATATTCTGTGGTATTATGCCTGTTTACACTATTCTATATTATCACAAGTGAAAGAGAAACACTGTTCATTATTTTACATTTTGTAATGTAATTACAGCAATTTTCTTAAGAGTTCTGCCAAAGACATTCTGCCATGATCTTTGAAAGTATAGTTGCCTTTCTTTGGTCAGCAATATGTTTTGAATTTTAAGGAGTAGTTTTTTTAAGACATTAATCAACATTAAAAAAGTAACAAATTTCTACCAACAGCAGGTAAAGATGAGAACTGTTTGTAAGCTTACGTCTGACTTATTGAACTAATTCTAGATGTTTTTGTTTCACATGTTGCATTGAGATTACATGTAAGAAACAGGCTTGAGCTTCACTATGAGGCCTAATAGCCAAAAAAATGATCACTCTGATTTTCACAGCAAGCTAACAAAGCTTAGTCTTCCATAAAAGAGGCGTGTCTTGACTGCTGTTTTTTTTTTTTTTTTCTAAACACTGCACACAGTTGTATGCCTCATGTTGCCTTGTTGTGCACAATAATTTTTGTGTGATGGATGAATTGCACACTTCTGCTAGGTAGTCAAGGGAATGACCAGAGTTTAGCGATGAAGCACGGTGTCATCTGCAGCTGGTGAAATCTTCATTTTATGTTATCACATTTGTCTCAACATGTCTTGATACACTAAAAATAACTGACCACTTTCTGTGGGAACTGTAGTTGATATTTTTAAATGTCTGAAGGTGTGAATGTCTTTAAGTATCTAATACCAACTGATAATTGATACAGTTTTCATTTATAGATGTTTTGTATCATTTGTACAAGGTATGATGGTGTTGATTTGTTCAAAACACTTGTTGTAGATGATTCTTCTATAAAGTTACATTCGCTTCATGACTTACTGCAAGTCAAATTATGCTCTATGCAAACCCTGAGAAAGTTTGTCTGAAAATATATCAAAATTATGCAACTTGGTTGGGTTCAAATGGGCCTGAACAACATTTTGCTGAGGCATCGTTGACAATTTTGTAATAAAGCATTTTATAGCACTTTGACGTGTGTTTGCGCTATAATTTCTGTTCCCATATGCCTAGCAGTGTTTGTATTGTAAGGAAGTTGAAGCTCTTGTTAGGACTTGATTACTTATTTTCTATATCGGGAAAATTTAGCCAAAGATTCTCCCGTTATTTCTTTAAAAACGTGTTCCTGTGATTCAGCAGTTATGTGAATGTCAAGGCCAACTTGTTATGAGTGAAAATGTTTACATGCAAAATTATAATGAAACCTGCTTGTGAACATATTTCAAGTATTTAATATTAACAGGCAATTGCATATATTATACTATATAATTTAATACTGAATAGTTGACTATACTGTATCTATGACTTCCTATTGACCTCTACTACACCATCTGGATTAGCCTGCAGGTATTGTGTATCACGCAAAGGCTCCGCTTGTTGCAAACTTTGCCTGTTGACCCTTTGGTTTTTGCACTCTGTCACTGTCAAGTAGGCCTACCCATAAAGTACAATTCACATGGCACAGTATGCATGCAAGTCTGATTATATTTTGCCTAGAGCCCCTGAAACCAACCCAATTCTCTTCTGCTGGAATTGTGCCCTTAGGTTTGCTCTGTGTCAGTTTGTGAGAATTTAATTAATTACACACTAATTAATTTAGGCATATGCACCATATAAGCAAATTGTCAACAAGCTTAATAATGGTGTTAAAATTATATTTTGACACAAGACTCAGTGCAGGACTTGCCTTAAGGCCCTTCATTTTAGTTTTGCACATTAGTGGAGTATAATACTAAACAAATTACCTCATTGAACCTGGGGCTTGTAGGTGCGCACTTTGTCTAGTCAGGAATACAGCCTTGTAACCAAAATCGTTACATTTGAATTAAAAAAATCTAATGTTATAATTCTTAGGGCCATGAGTGGTACTTTTGGTACTCCAGCCTTAAATGTGTCAGTGGTGCATAGGTGTATATTTATACTCTGCTGATACATTTTAGGGTTATAAATCTCATTACATTAATGCAACAATATCCTATAAATGACGTATAGTAACAGTCTTGTACTCAGCAGCCTACCGCACTAAAGAAGACCATGTTTTGTCTCTGAATTTAATCAAGGTGAAACAGGTGAAAGGGAAAGCACCGCGATAACGCGACATAAATCTCCTTCTCCTCTCTATGTGTGCCACATGCACATTGCCTCGGCTCGGGGGAAAGTAACATGCTTACTGCTCCTTCCCTCACATAACCATTAATTTTCTCTGCAAGGTTGCATGCGGTTGACCAATTTTTTCCACCATCATCTGCGGGGAAGGAAGACGCTGCAGCCTCTTACTACTCTTCCCCAGCAGTGAGCAGTGGCTTCCCGGGGCTCCGCACCATCAACGCAACCATAGGTGATTCAAAAAAAATGTCTGACGAAGAACCAAATATGTCGACGGGGAGGAAAACAGCGTTAAGGTAACAAGCAGACAGTATTTGTGTTATCTGACGCGGGATGCTGTTTTTAGTTAGCCTGTGTAGCTAACTGTTAATGCATGCTAACGTCCCTGGTGTTGTGGTAAACTGTCAGCAGGAGGTGCAGGGTGAGAAGGCGCTAAGCAGTTTGCACAGTTCAACGTTACATCTACTCAAGTATTCCGGTAAAACCGAAGTTATAATTTAGACACGGATTGTTCGGTCACAACGATGCTAACCGCAGCTAGCAGGAGAGGGTGGGTTCATCACATGACTGGGAGGCAAGAGTTGTCGCTCAATTTATCCAGCCTTTAATTACCCTTTTTTATTTTTTCAAAAAGACATATAATAGCTTGTGTGGAAAGCGGTCATATTTGGTGTGTAAACAACGGGAGAGGTTTTGTTTTTTTAATATCGAAACTGATAACAAACTTTTACGGTTGCTAATAACAAGTTAAGTGATGCTGTCAGTGAAGTTATTTCGTCATAAAATGTAAGGATTTTGTATCTTAAACATGTCTTATTTTCCAATTAAAAACGTTTAAGCTATTAACATTTAACAAATGTGAAAAATAAATATGACAGCACGAATAAAACGAAAATGTAACGTAAAGCTTGTCAAATAAGGTTATAAACTATGTAGGAAGGATAGCTGTTTAACATATGCCATGTGTCTTTTAATTAAAACATTACCCCAGCGTTGGAATAACTTGTTAGTTTAGTGTCTCTCATCCATAGTGAAGAAGCACAGTAACATAACATTACCAGTGCTGGCAGCCAGCTAGCGTCTTGTTGACATTTTGCATAATGTTAAGTGTGCGGCGTTCACTTGACTTGAGGAAAACTTTCAACTGAGCTTATTGTCCGTAGTCACGATTCTGAGTTAATGTTTAAAGTCGGAAAAGTAAATTTTTTACAGACTTGAATTGCTCGTGGCGGGGTTTATTCTCAGAATCTTTACCCCCGACCTTATGTGTGATATACTTTCAACACAACACAGTAAATCCAAACTGCTTTACAGTGCAGGGATTTAAAAAAAAAAAAAAAAAAGGACAAGGAAAAGTGTGCATGACAGTGCACACAGAGTCATCACTCTCATCAGAGAGGCAGAAAACAAGTTATTGCTTCAGAAGTAATATGTGAGCAGAGCCTCTTAGTGAGAAAAACGCATGGAGGAGGAAGGAAAATGTCATGGAGGACATTTTGACAGCAGTAGGATGAGCACTTAAAATGAATGATGGCTGTATTTCATGTTGCAGTTTCAGGGTTCTGGTATTCTGCATGCTGATTCACTGTCATGGCTTAATGGGACACTTGAATAGGATAGAGCTGTCGGTAATGTTATTAGTCACACCTGTGCTTTTCCTGCTATAACAAGTCAATATGTGAAAAACTGCTTATTTGCAGTGGCTATTGAGATATATAGTACTAGTTCTGCTTCCAGGAACAAGCAGGAGCTTTTTTTCAGAGCATCTCAGGTCCCTGTGTTGACAGAATGGGAGTAATATAGTCCATCTTATTTGACCTTGTAACATATTTACACTCTTAAACTCTATAGTAAGCATACAATTTAATTAAATCACTACAACTAGCTACAAAAGTCTCAGGGATGCCATAATACTGTCCAAGACCACTTTATATATATATATTGGCCCTTGATATGAAGATAGTAAAGATGCAGGTGACCAGCTGATATCATACCACCAACCCCTCAACACAATAAATACTTCTCATCGTCAATAAAATCACTCCAAGTCAAACATAAATGATTATTATTGATTATAAACAAGTCAATACAAATTGTAACTTGGATGATAGCTTACACATGTTGGCACAAACGCATATTTTTTTTTTTTAGTTTTCCATAATCTCTAATTTGAATTTTTTTTTAAAATTGTTAGTCATTATTTTAATGTACACCACAGTATCCCTGATAATCGAATTGTCACATAAAATAAGACTGATCAAACCTACTAATTTAATGATTTCTTATAATGAGAAACAATCTATGCTCCAAATGTAAGGTGTGGGGTGTCACTCCACAATAAAATTGAAACACAAAACCTGATGACAGACTTGATATTATAATCAGTTGACAAAATATGCAAAAAATATATATAGATGAATATATATAGATGTATAACTCATGGTGGAATTATGTGCAAATAATAATGGAATGTTTATAGCTAAAAAAATTACACATTTGTTCCTTTTAATTATACCTTTTTTTTTTTTACTTAGTCTCTGCTATGGGTGTTTATCACAGGGTTCCTCTTCTTTCCCATTGGCCCCAAACACAGCATAGACAACTTGACAATAATTGGAACATGTGTAGCCAATCATATGCCTAGAAGATACTGAGACCCGCCCTCTTCCTTCACCAACCAGTCAACATTGGCCAAAGTGCAGCTGCTGTTCCGGTAGTCAAAAAGCACATTACTTTGACAGAGAGGAAGAAGCTGTTGACCATTTAATGATCAGGTTTGGCTGCTGAGCTTTCTGACATAATGCCAGCTCCAAGGTAAGATCCAAATGATAATATCCTCCAGTATTTCCACAGGGAAGAAATCTGCTGTGTTGATTGAAAACACTGCGAGAAAGCATATAATGTCAGACTTTTAGGTTGGTGTATTAAGTTGGGATGGTTTCAGTGAGTCTGGATCTTATTGCATCCAATTTTATTACAGATCATTTAAAAGCCAAACTGCTGCACTAGAGAACAGTAATTTTAATACGTTTGTTTGATGTGTTTTATGAAAGTTGGGTAACCTGTTATGAAGACTCTGCTGTCAGAAGTAGACTTTGACCACTATGATATCTTGTTGCTGAAAATGTCATCTAGACTCGAGATGAAAGTGTCATTGGGTGAAAAAATGCAATATTTAAAGACAGTTTTTCCTGCCTTTTGACACAGCAACTTAAGCCTGACCATTCTGAGTGACACAAAAGCTACACGTGTCTGTGCATGTGAACATTGACACATCAGGTGTTTTCAATGTGCTGAAGTACCTTCTTTTCATTTGACTAATCTCCATCTGAATGGGATGGAAAAAAGAAACTACATTATTGGCAGTTTTTACATTTCTCAGTGCAAGCGGAGGAGTGACCTCTTCCAAAGTCATAAAAATGCATTCATTTGTCTGTTATGAGCTCATAGGTTTGCAATTGTACATGCTTCTGTAGCTTTATTTTCTCATATGTTGTACACATGTCGGCCGTGAGAGAGAAGGTCAGGTAACAGAGGCGGCGGCGGTGAAACTGGTTCATCCCTCATCAGAGTTTCAGTGACTTAATTCTACAAATCAGGAACAGATGATTTTCTGTATCACAGCAGATTGTTTGTATCCTCTGTTCATGCAGAGCTTGTGAGTGGGAGTCTGCATGATACAATATGTTTTTGTCTCCCCCCAGTGAAAACACACTCTTTGGGATGGGAAATCCCTTGCTTGACATTTCAGCTGTTGTGGACAAAGATTTCCTTCACAAGTAAGTCTAAACAGCTCATTTGTTTTCCCTGATGGCTTCATATCTCTGTGTCTCATCCGGCTTGTTTTTTTTTTTTTTTTGTATTTATTCCTTAAGGTTCGGACTGGAGCCTAATGACCAGATCCTCGCTGAAGACAAGCACAAAGCCTTGTGAGTCAAAACTTCACTGGACTCCACGTGCTACAGTAGAGTTGCGCAAAGTGTTAAAATGACGTGGATCCAAATAAGGGATATACTGGTCATTCATACCCACCACTACCATCTTGACACTTAAGCTCTGCTCAAAATAGCAAAGTTGTAAATCAACTCTCTGTAACTGGGAGCCTCAGAAGTTGACGCCCACATTTTTCACACACTCAATTTGTGCCAAACTTTACCAAGAAGCCTCTGAATTTACTACTGCTTTGGACTAAATAGTACATTTATAACTTTATGCGTGTCATTAGATTGACACAAAATTAGCAGTTATTTATTCATGCATGCTCTTTTTCAAGACCCTCCCTCCTTCACATTGCAGGCGTATGCAACAGTAATATTATAGCCTTGAAAAATTGTTTGCATGTCCCTGAACTCCTTTCTTTAGAAATACACCTCAAGTAAGCATAGACTGTAAACAACAGAAAAGACTGTAAAACAGAATCAAGCCTTAATTGCTGACTGACCTCACCCCTCCCCCTCGTTTCTTTAGTTGATTGAGTGCAGATGGTTTCTTATTTAGGGAATTTGTTAGCTCATTTTTGTGCTGACTTAAGAGTTACACCATGTGTAAGTAAGATGATGGTGAGAGCAGGCGTTTCCTTTGAAGCAAACAGATCACATATTCCACATATGGGATATGTGATCATTTGTTTAGTGCTTGTCTTTTATAAATGAGTGTGAGGATGTTTTCTTTGTTTAAAAATTATGATTGAATGACTTTTAATAATTAACTTGGAAGCAAAAGACACCAGAATGTCTGGAGCTTGAACATCTTACATTGCATCTGACATGTTGTTTTTTCAGACTTGTAAATGGTGGCCTTTTAGGCGTTCACTTGTATTCGGCACATTCCACATTAGATTGAAACTTGAAAAGGGATCAGCTCTATTCTGGGAAGGCTTTTTCATTCAACTAAGTGGAGCAGTTCATGATAAATTCATGAACTGTTCATGAAAATAGAAAGATACTCAAATATATCGAAGGTCACATTTTTTTTAAATTCCTGGATTAACTAGTCTCTTGGTTTATGGTCGAACTTTTCATGAGATTTTATTTTACATTTTTGGGGACACTAGGTAACAGACGCAACATCACTGGGACAGAAAACGTAACCTCCTTTGTGACTCAATCGGGCAGTTCAGTTATTGATTTGATGAATATTTTATTTTTGTCATGATACAACATTTCATTTAGTCATAAATGCTGGTACTGCAGCCTTTGTGGTGCCTTGTGGCTTCACTGAGAGGATCCCTGAGCTTCTCTCATTCATTTTGCTCATGATGGAGCTTACCAGACACTGTGTAATATTCAGACATAGCCTGTAGCCTCCATTTGGTGCAGCAAATAACTTTTTTCGGCCATTTTTTAAAACCAGGGTGGATTCACTGAGCACAAATGCTCTTTTACAGGAACACTCACTCGGGAACATTCACACCTCGGAGGTGCCCAGGACAACCACAGTCTTATATGTTGGGTGTAAGATAACAACATAACTCTTATCTGTTGGCCACTGAGCAGCTCCACTTCAGCAGTTTGGTGTTAAGTAGCTTGCTCAAGGGCACCTCAGCGGTGGTAGTGAGGAGCGAGAGACAACTGCTGTTCTTTCACTCTAAACTCCAAAATCATCCCATTGGTCTGGGGATCGAGCCGATGACAGCCCAAGGCAACCTTCGGTTTTCCACAAATTCCCTTGTTTGGTCCAGCACTTGTTGAACAGTTGTTTAAGTATGTGTATACTTTTAGAAAATTGATCTTGACAATAAATTACATGTCAGAATCAGAAGGAGCTTTATTGCCAAGTAGTTTTTTACACATGGGGAATTTGCTTTGGTGACGAGGTGCTACACATAGACAAACATACAGTATATATCTTGTATGATCCATTTAAGATGTGTAACAACAGCCAAAGCTTGTGCAAAGCTACACGTAAGAAAGCCAAATATTTGTAATTAGTGTCTACAATATGTACAGGGATACTATACTGTATACTGGAGACACACTTTCTGGTACGTCACTGTTATTACCACAATTACATATTATTTGATTTTAATGAAAAATGTCTTTAAGCTGTTCAATTCATATGTTGACATAAAATATGAAAGCTTGGCTTTTATATCTACCAGAAATTATGATTGTTTGACTGTTTAATAGCAGAATATTACATAATTGTTTGAATTAAGTTATATTGTGCATTTTATTTAACGTTTTCGCTGTTTTTCTCATGGAGTGCGATTTGTCAGAGATCTGGCACACTGTCCCATTATTATATGTCACTTTGTACTTTGATGCAGATCTGGATCCAGAAGCAGTTAAGACATTTGTAAACATACTTATTAAAATGGAAAATTTAGCAGATTGTGCAGATGTGGTCTAGTGTAGTTAGGTGACGCTTAGTTTTAGTGAATGTTGGTTGATTGAACAATTTCAGACCTGAGAAGTGATCCGATCTGTTTTGGTGTCTTAGTGTGGAAAGTTGAAGCGAATCACAGTGTGATAATTGTAAAATCATAAAACACCAGCGTTATGCTTATACAATATAAAGACAGATCAGTACATCAGACCGTCTGTACCTTACAATAGGCTACCTTGTCAGGTCTTGTTACTTGACAAAGGGACACATGTGACCTTGGGCGGCGGCAGCAGCAGCACAAAGCAGCATCATCAGCAGTGTTGTTCTCCTCCAGCACAAAAGCAGCTGTGTTATCTTTAGCCCCACAGACACTGTTCCCTCCACATTCTGCACAAGGTCAGGGCAGGATTAACATGCGGATTTGGTGGTTTATTCCCAGCACAATGCATTTCAATGCATGTCCCCTCCAATACCACACACAACAGCGTACTCGCCCTCATGTCCATCAATTTATATCTTTATGTACATGTGGTATTTTTTTATATCACATCATCTTATTGACTTATAGCAGTACAGGTTATGAAAAATGTAAGCTTTAGATGCTGTGATATGAGCCACAGCATGCCTGTTAACGATGCTGACGGACTACAAAGTGCAAAGAGGTCATTCACAAGGTCACTGGCCCATGGAAGATGAAGAACGTGACTGAACTGTTGTGACAAAAGACATCATTACTTAAAAGACCAGAATAGACTTACAAGGCTACTCGATTAACACTATTGTTGTGCTTCTGAATCTAAAGAGTGTAACACGATTCATTTTTTTTTCTCCCCATCACCCTGGTGGGAGAAAGATCATTGGATGCAGTGCACTGTGGACATGCCTGAATTCAATTATCTAGTCACAGCAGAGCCCATATAATCCTGTTGTGGCTGAGAAATTGCCTGCTGTAGAAACTATCTACATCCCCTGTTAGTACAGGCTGGGGACTGAATGGTTTTTTTTTTTTTTCCTGATTAAGCATCAACTGTGACTTTTGGTGCTTTTTCATCTTTAATATGCAAACTAGAGCACTATTTAGTTGATTAATCAATTAGTTTACCAATGGAAATCATGCAATTGTTTGTCATTTTTAAGCAAAAATGCTCAAAATTTACTGGTTCCAGCTTCTCAAATACGATAATTCGCTTGAAATGGAATATTTTTGGATTTAGGACTGTTGGTTGGACAAGAAAACATTGTAAAGACTATTAGGCCTACGAATTTTTACTGAACTATTTTGATCTATAAACTATTAGTGCCAAAAAATGTACCTGTTATGACTTCTCAAATGTGAATATTTGTGGTTTTCTTAGTCCTTTTATGATAGAAAATTTAAATTTTGGATGACTCGAGAAAATAATCATCAGACTAATAGATAATTTAAAATGATTGTGAGTTGCAGCCTTTCTAGATTATGAATGGAGTAAATGAAGAAATAATCACAAGATACGTATCCTTCTTGTCTAGTGGTTAAGACTCATACCCTACAACCGCAATATGTCGTGGTTCGTTTCCTGCCCCCGAGGTATATTTCATTCCGCTTGCTTTCTCCCCACGTTTCCTGTCTGTGTCAAGTTTCTACTTTCTCCTGCCTAATAAAGGCAAAGAAATACCAACCAAATCATTCAATTAAAGTAAATTTTCAAATCATGTAGTGCAACTCAAGCACTGCGAGAATCACATACCAATAACTTCCATGTAAGGCAGCTGCTTCTTCTCAGTACTTGTATTTTATTTCAGACTTTACAGTGTGGTGGTTAGTGAGTCATGTGGCAGTTGAACCCCCGGGCCTTGTACTGCAACTGCTTTTATTTAGGTGATATTTCCACAGTGGTTTTTGAGCTTCAGTTGAAAGGCTTCTTTTGAGAAGATTCTGGTTTGTTGGAGGACGCCCAAAGTGTTCTGAAATTCGGGTTATGAGAGGAAACCAACTAACCAAAGCACTGTGTTTGACTTCCTTTCTGCCTGCCTAGACATCATTCTACATTTTAGTGGTTGATATTGCAAGATGCTGTGCAGGTCTTGCTCACTTTTTGAAGTCGCTGCTGCCATCGTGTGGCTAAAAGTGTAAGTTTGGTACCTGCAAAGTAGGGAATATGTAATGTCTTTTTATAACTTGAAAAGATTTGAGGTACATATGTGTGTTTATCTCAGATGATCAGACAAATTAGAACATTTATTAGTTAAAGTTGCACTGTTGTCAGAGCTTTTAGTTTATATTTGCATATTTTATAGTTGCATTTGACTTTTGATTGCAGGACTTGAAAATATTTATGTAGTTAGCAGCTGGTTGGTATTTCATGTTAACTTTTCATTTTCTTTTCTCAGTAGTGAATTTCATTGCTCAGTATGGAATTGCAGTAAAAGGGGTATGTACCTTTTATGCCCAGCAGGGGGCAACAGTAGCCTGCTGTTTACCCCAAGGAGTCTCTATAGGAAACAACATGTCAACATAATGAAAACACGCCTCTTTCTGCGGGAGATTATAATGTGGGCAAATAGACATTTTATTTCAGGATAACAAGGCATTACAGGTTGTTTATAACACGCAGCCTTTCAT